CCTGGGAGTCCAGGGTTCGAATCCCTCCCACTCAACCGTGAAACTTTCGCTGGGTGCCACCACGGCCTAACCAACCTCGCAGGGCTGTTCTGGGGATTAAATGAGGAGGTAAAGGTAAAGGGACCGCTCATCATTAGGTCCAGTCGTGGACGACTCTGGGGTTGTGGCGCTCATCTCGCTTTATTGGCCAAGGGAGCTGGCGAACCTGAGCAGCGCACGGAAATGCCATCTACCTTCCTGCCGGAGTGGTACCTATTTATCTACTTGCACTGGCGTGCTTTCGAACTGCTAGGTTGGCAGGAGCTGGGACCAAACAACGGGAGCTCACCCCGTCGTGGGGATTCGAACCACCAACCTTCTGATTGGCAAGCCCTAGGCTCTGTAGTTTAACCCACAATGCCACCCGCGTCCCTCAAAATGAGGAGGGGGAGAACCGTTTTCTAGAATCATGGGGGGAAGTGGGATGTGCATGCAATAAAGAACAAGTTCTTATGTTGTAAACTGCCCTGGGATCATTGGACGAAGTGTGGTATATACATTTAATAAATGACGGTGGCGATAATAATGTCCAGGCAAGGACCACCAGGCCGCATGCTGTGGCAGAATCAGGGGTCTGTTTTGGGTGCTCCCAGAAACGTATGTTTCAGATCTCTGCATTTCTCATTCATTCATTCATTCTTCCCAGCTGTCAATCATGCTGACTCCCCTCACTCCTCTGCTATCCTCACTTCATTCTCTCTGCCCTCCATAGTAGTGGCAAGAACATGGTGAGTTTTGGGGGGTGGGGAAATGTGAGGGCTTCAAGGGCAAGCTATAGGGGGGGGAGATTTGGGGAGCTGTGAGGGGATGGGAAAGGAGAGGTTGAGCAAGTTGTGAGGGGAGGGGTGGGTGAGGTCTAAAGGGGGCGTGTTGGCAATGGGGCAGGTTTGCCAGAGGTTTTTGAGCCAGGAGAGCAGAGGCGGCAGCCTCTGGTACACAGCACATATCTCAGAAAGTCATGGCACATAAGGAGAAAGAGACAGGGAGGGAGAAGGAAAAATGCAAGCTTAGGCACCAGTTCTTAAAAGTTCACAGTTCTTATTGGAACCAGCTGGAAATGGTTCATGTAGCCTAAGGTTTTAACTGTTTTTAATTCTGAATTGTGAATCGTTGCAAACTGCTCTGGGACCTGATGATGAAAGGTATGTTAATAATAATAATAATAATAATAATAATAATAATAATGCACATTGCCCCTTCTCCCCAGAGATCCTCGTCACTTTAGTTTATCCCCTACAGACCTAGAGCCCCCAGCAGCCTGAACAAACTACAATTCCCATGATCCTTTGGGCAGGGTGCTTTAAATGTATGGCGTGCACACAGCCTGCCTGTAAGATCTGTTGAACAGTGAAGCGTACTTGCTCAGGAGGTGGTGGATGAGATCACCGGATGAAACTGTTGCACTGCAGGGGGTTGGACTAGATGACCCTTGGGGGTCCCTCCCCATCGTACAATTCTATGGTTCCACCTAAGAAACTATGCACAGGATCGCAGCCTAAGCCTACTGTGGCTTCTGGACCAGGGGGGAGCTTCAGAAATGCACAATATCTTAAACTGGGGGTGGGGAGCCTGATTTATTATGAACTGTTCCTTTCCCAAACAACCATTGGGAGCCAGCAAAGAAATGAAGGGTAATCCAGGGTTTTGTGGAACACAAAGCACCCGCTCCCCTCTTTGAAACCCACCCCTCTCCTCCTCCAAACAAAGGAAAGCGAAAGGGCAGAGATAACCAGCAGCCGGCCAGCCAGCCAGCCAGAACCCCTCCAGGGAACAATTGTTCGGGATTCACGGCAGGAAGTCCAGCCTAACCTCATTTCCTCTACGGCTTTCGGGAACTTAACCCTCAGGTCGAGACGCAGTCCAAACCCACAGCAGGACGGCCGCAGGTCACTTACAGAGAAAATAAGGGCCTAATCCCTTTCCCTGCCAAGGGATCATCTGTGAAAGGAGGAGGGGGAGAGATGTCAGAAACTCTAATAAGGGAAATAAGATGATCCCAGGGCAAACGCACCGTGTGGATTTTGTGAGGGGTCCAGGCTGGGGGTGGCTGCGTGGCCTTTATGGCCTTTTCCTCCCACAAGAGAAGTAAAAATAATAATTTTATAATAATTTTATTATTTATACCCCAGCCATCTGGCTGGGTTAAAAACAGAATAAAACACCAGTGATTAAAAACTTCCCTAAACAGGGCTGTCTGCAGATGTCTTCTAAAAGTCAGGTAGGTGTTTATTTCCTTGATATCTGCTGGGAGGGCGTTCCACAGAGAAGGTGCCACCACCGAGAAGGCCCTCTCCCTGGTTCCCTGTAACCTCACTTCTTGCAGTGAGGGAACCGCTAGAAGGCCCTCGGAGCTGGACCTCCGTGTCCGGGCTGAATGATGAGGGTGGAGACGCTCCTTCAGGTCTACTGGGCCGAAGCCGTTTAGGGCTTTCAAGGTCAGCACCAACACTGTGAATTGTGCTTGGAAACATCATGGGAGCCAATGTTTGGCTCCTGCTTCCGACAGTGCTTTAAAAGTAAGGATTAGGCCAACCTGGTGCCCTTCCTGAGTTCTGGACTGCAACCCCAGCCAAGCAAGTAAGAGCCCCTCTTGAGGTGTCAGAATGATAAAATTGAAGAGTTGGAAGGGATCACAATGGCCATCTAGTCCAACCCCTTGCGATGCAGAATCACAGCTTTCCTGATGGATGGCTTTCCAAACTCTGCTTACAAACCTCCATCGATGGAGGGCCCACAACCTTCCCAGGCAGTCCACATTCCACTGTCCAACAGCTCTTCACTCTTTTTCCATCATTGCCTTGCAACCTGCTCTGGAGAAAGGATGGCAAGAAAGCAGGGGATCCTTTCACCTGACACAAAAAGAGGGAGACAGTGTCCTCAGAATGATTGAGGATATGAGAAGGGCTTTTTTTCCAGCTGTGGCACCTCTCAGGTGGGGGCAAGGGAGGTGTTCAGGGTGAGTTCCAGCACCTTTCCCCCCCTAGAAAAATAGCACTGGGTACCAGTATTAATGTGGTCACCTGATTTGGTGTTAGAGGTCGGAAAGGTGGGAATGTTCTCCAGGATACAGGTGAGAAGTCTCACCTGCAAGGAAGCCCACTGCAGGAGCTCCTGGGGTTCAAGCTGCTGATGAAGACACAGTTTTCAGCATCCAGTTTTTGGTGGTGCCAAATGGCCAGGTGGTGTAGGGAGAAAATGGCTCATCTGTGGGTGTGGTGTAGTGTAGTGGTTAGAGTATTGGACTAGGAGCTAGGAGACCAGGCTTCAAATCCCTGCTTGGCCATGAAGCTGACTGGTAGTAGCTCTTTGGGACTTCAGACAAGAGTTTTTCAGAGCTTGTAGAGCAGATGTTCTACCACTGAGCCTTCCCTTCCCTGTCTCTCTCAGCCTAACCTACTCTGCAGGGTTGTTGTGAGGATAGGTATGTCACCTGGAGCACCTTGTCAGCTGTAGTGGAAGAGTCTTCTTCCCTCCTAAGCAAGACTTGGTGGAGAAAGGCAAAGGACAGCCAGGATGAGAGGTCTTCTCCAAGCAGATGGTGAGAACCTCAGCATGGGAGGCAGGAGGGAGAGATCTGAAGTCTCAGGGCATGAGGGCATCTCCCTTGGCTGGATATGAGTTCTCCTAGTAAGCTGCCTTATACAGAGTCAGACCATCTAGCTCCATATTGTCTACATTCTGCATGCCAAGGCGATGTTCAGCAAAGAGGTATGACCTTTTCTAGGCAGGAACATAGGATCAGGTCATCAAGTCCATCAAGTTCAGCATTGTCTACACTGACTGGCAGCCGCTCTCCGGGGTTGCATGCAGGAGAGTCTCCCAAGGCAGATGCTCTACCCACTGAATAATGGCACTTCCCTCTCTGCAGGGAAAGTGTCTCCCATGCCCTGGTGGTTCACCTACAATTTGAAGGGAAAAGCACACCTCATGTTGGTTGGAGACCCTCCTTGGAAGCAGAACTACCACAAAATCAAAGTAAATAACCATTTACAGCCCTTTCCCGATGCCTCAAAGACAGAACCAGTTTGTATGTGTGGAAGGGTGTTAGCCGGGGGAGGAGGGTTCCAACAAGAGGGTTCCTGATCCCTATAACCCAGACAGGCTCCTCAACCCTCATACCTGGATAGGTCAAGAGGTGTCACCGGCTTTGACTGTTTTAAACATTTTATTTTAAAAACACTGGAACTCCCTGCCTATTAATCTCAGGCAGGCCTCTTCACTGTACTCTTTCTGACACCTGCTTCAAGACATTAATGCACAAAGGAGCCTACTCAGATGTTTAGAAAGCTGATGTTATTCTTCAGCCTGTTGTTAAATTAACTTTTTGAAGTTTTAGATTATCGTTGTTCACTTTTCTTAGCGATCATTTCATTATTTTATCTTTTTCATAAACCACTTTGAGGTGGCTGTTATAGAGTCAAGCAGCCTACAAATTTTATGAAATAAAAAAGTAGCAAATTTATTTGTAACTCTTCCTGGGATTGTTGTTGTTGTTTAGTCGCTTAGTCGTGTCCGACTCTTCATGGACCAGAGCATGCCAGGCACTCCTGTCTTCCTTCCTGGGATACCTGGGTTCAAATTACACACTGGGCCATGAGTGAGTGGTGTCCCTGGGGGACAGTCTCTGCCTCTCAAGCTAACCTACCTCACAGGGCTGTTGTTGTGCGGAACAAAATGAAGGGTAGGACCTAGAAGACCTGGGTTCAAATCACCCCACTTTGCCATGAAGCTTGCTAGGTGTCCCTGGGGGCCAGTCTCTGCCTCTCAAGCTATCCTACCTCACAGGGTTGTTGTGGGGTTAAACGAGGGGGGGGCATGTATCCTTATGCTCTTTGGAGAAAAAGGTAGAATATAAATGCAATACATTAACAACAGACGACAACAACGCCGCAATGATTATCTTCCATGCGCAAAGGTGCGCAGGTGAGGCATAGACAGGTGTGGGCACTCCCCTCCCTTACCTGGATGTAGGCTCTCTGGAGGAAGCTGTAAGGCACCCTGCGCTGGAAATCCGCGCGCACCTCGTCGCTGGCGACGTGTCTGGAGTCCGCCCCGGGCAGCGCTTCCCGGCGGCAGGAGCGCAGGCAGCGCGCCCGGCGGAGCAGCGCGCCGAAGAAGCGCAGGTCCCGCCGGGCAGCATCCTCGCGCGGCTCAGCGTCTTCGAGCGGCGCCTCCCGACGGCAGCGCAGCGCGCAGCCCAGGCGCGCCTCCCGCAGGCGGCGCTCGGCGCTCAGCGCTGCCTCCAAGTAGCGCACGGCGCCGGCGAAGTCCCCCTGCGAGTGCGCCTCCACGCCGGCTGCGTAGAGCGCGTCGTAGGTCGGCCCGGGCTCCGGCTCCCCGGCCCCCGACGCCCCCAGCTGCAGCAGCAGAGGCTGGAGCAGAAGGAGCAGCAGCCCGGGGGCCATCCCCGCCGCCCCGCTTTCCGGGCTGGGGCGCGCCGTCGAGGCTGGGCAGGTGGCGACGGGCGCGCCGGACGGGGCGCACGGAGGATGCTTTGCGGAGGAAGGCTGCTGAAGCTGGCTGTCGAGCGACGGGCGCTCCTGGGAAGGCAGGAGGGAGGCGGCGGAGGTGGAGCCCTCCCCCTCGGGGTTTCCCCTCCGCCCAGTCCAGAGGGCCGGGAATGCCCGGGGGGAGGAGAGACAAGCCGTCGGCGCTTCCCTCGGCTGCGAGCGGAGCAGGAGAGCCAGGAGAGCGAGCGAGAAGCCGCTGGGGGGAGCGCTCCGTCTGCAGCCCGGCCAAGCTCGCTCTCTCTCCTCCCCGGCTGGCTGCTGTGCCGGAACCGGCAGCGCTTCCAGGGCCGGGCGCGCCTCTCGCCCGGCGGGCGGCTTGCCTGCTTCGCCCTCCTCTGCTCGCCAGAGGGACTGCTTGCCTGCCTGCCTGCCCTGCTCGGCGGGGCGGAGAGAAAGAGCAGGCGGAGGAGGCTGTCCCTCGATGGCTACCGGCGAGGAGAGCGAGGAGCCGGCCGTGAGGCTTGACCTGCGGGGGGAAAGGGGGTTTCCCCCTTCGCAGTTTCTTCCCACTTTTTCTCCCCCGCCCTGCCTCCTTCGGAACAGCGGGTGCTGGAGAGAGAAGGCGTGGGGGGGCACGGCAAAGTCTCATTCGTATTCATATCACCAGTTACAGATAGGTAGCCGTGTTGGTCTGCCATAGTCAAAACAAAAAAAAAATAATAATCCTTCCAGTATACAAGATCTCAAAGTAGCTGTTTTACTACAAAGGAATTTCAGAAATAGACTGGAAAGAGAAGCTGCTGAATTGCAACTTATTACCAAACTTAAAACCATGGAGAGACCTGGTCTGAACAAAGACATTGGATTCTTATCTCATTATACATGACAAAGCCATTTTTCACCTTCTCACCCCTTGCTTTTTCCTGTAAGACCTACTGCAGTCGTTAAGAGTCGTCAACAGGCTCATCACAGCTATCTGCCAATCACCCATTCCCACCACCCTTCTGAGTAATACCCCTCCCCACCTTCTCACTATATAGAAGGATCTGGCAAGCTCTGTTTCAGTGTATCTGAAGAAGTGTGCATGCACATGAAAGCTCATACCAAGAACTAACTTAGTTGGTCTTTAAGGTGCTACTGGAAGGAATTTTTTTCGTATTCATATCGTTATCATATTTCCACCATGCCTTTTGCCGGGCCGGGACGCGAGGCGGCTCGCGCAGAGAAATCAAAACAAGCTGAAAACATAGAAAGGACAATCGTAAAAATGCACTTAGAAACAGAATTTTAAAAATATCAATTTCTGGTGGTTTTTGGATTTCCTGCTCACCCGCAACCGAAAGGTCCTAGGGCGCGTTTGGCAACGTAAAAAGGCCAAGTTAAAACCAGGGCCACCAACTTAGCTCAGGTAGAGAGGCTCATCTCTGGGTCCGAGCACCTTCTCTCAAGTATGTATGGTAGGAACATGTTGACACACCTTTTTCTGTTGCGGCTACCAGCCTGTGGAACTCCCTGGCTCAAGACAGATTTGTTTGGCAAGCTTCTGGGCTTGCCAAAAGCACCTCATTGACTTCTGTGAGAGGCAGTGGCTGGGGCAGTTGGCCCTTTGACTGGGTCCAGAAGCACAGGACTTTTCTCAGACTGATTCATTCCACCAAGATCCTATACTCTAGCCTCTGACTTTCCTGGAAGTTGAGTGGCCTTATCTTTGCACATTGCCTCAGGAAAGTGAGGAAAATTCTCAGGGATGATTCACACCCTGGCCAGCACTTTCTTGATCTCCTGCCCTTGGGCAGAAGATATAGAAGCAGGATTAGTTGCGCCAACAGGGTAAAGAACAGCTTCTATCCGTGGGCTGTTAGGCTGCTGAATGAAAAGATAACAACAGGGCAACGGACTTTTGGGTTTGGTGGGTGTGCATCAGTAAACGAGGGGAATTAAGACTAAGAGAGCTGAGTGGTGGGTGCTCATGTAATCTCACAGTATACAAGTTGTACAAGTGACAATAAAGTATTTCAATTTCAATTGCAGTGCTATTATTTTTATTTTAAATTTCAGTCTTGAACCTGCTGTATAGTCATGTCCAGTATTCTTTATGCTGCACAAAAGCTGCAATCCTTTGCATGCTTTCCTAGGAGTAAAGCCCCCTTGAAGATAAGGGGATTGAATCCTGAGTACACAATTATGCCCGTAACTGAGCTCAGTTAGTTAGAGCGTGGTGCTGATAATGCCAGGGTTGCAGGTTGGATCCCCGTCTGGGACAGCTGCATATTCCTGCATTGCAGGGGGTTGGAATAGATGATCCTCAGGGTCCCCTCCAACTCTGTGAATTCTATGAATCTAAGGTCTAAGAGCAATGGAATCCAACAGTTTCCTTGTGAAATTTGCTTAGGGGCAGATTTCCAAAAACAAGCTGTCTAGTCTGAGCTTCATTTATCCACATTCAAAAATGTCTCTATAATTTTTTTATTAAATTTTCTGTATTACAATTTAAAATACTCGTTTTTACATCCTTAAAATATCAATGACTTCCCTTCCTCTCTTTCCATGGTTCATTTTACATATCATAAATCCCTGCATATCTTACAAAAACTATACCATTCAGTATTCCATCATTGCACCCATCCAGACTTATTTACACTCTTGAATCTATCTTAATGCTGCCAGCGTTTTCAGCTGTACACAATTATTTCCCATATATTCAATAAACGTTTTCCAATCTTCTCTAAGCATGTGTTCTTCTTGTTCTCTTATTCTATATGTTAAATCTGCAAGCTGAGCATATTCTGTCAGCTTAAATTGCCATTCGTCTTTAGTCGGGATCTCATTTGTTTTCCATTTTGGGCTAACAAAACATGGGCTGCAGTAGTGGCATACATAAATAACATTTTTTGACACTTGGGAAATTCAATCTGAATTCTCCCCAACAAAAAGAACTCTGGTTGTTGTTGTTTTGGAAAGTACTTTTAAACATTTTTTATTTCCCGATACTCTTTTACATGTCCACCACATGTGAAAGAAGGTTCCGTCCACCTCTTTGCATCTCCACATTCAAAAATGTTTGCAGCATCAGAATATAAGAAAAGCCCTGCTGTTCAGTTGTGGTGGTCTTTGTTTTCATGTGTGAATGAACAACCACACCCTGGGACAACCCCAACCTCACTCACCACCAAAGAAACACAAGTGAACAGCAGAGAACCTGCACAAGCAACACTGACACAAAACCCCACATATATTAAGTAAAATAGAAACATTGCCACCCAACCCCACTCATCTTTCCCCCCTCCACCTCCTTCCCCTTTTCTTCCCAATGTCTCAACAAATGAAACCGATTTGTAAAAAAAAAAAAGTTATACGGGGGGAAAAATACGAGAGACATTGCACACACCTTTGTAAATAATAATAAAAAAGATTTAATAAAAATACAGTGGTACTTTGGGTTAAGTACTTAATTCATTCTGGAGGTCTGTTCTTAACCTGAAACTGTTCTTAACCCGAAGCACCACTTTAGCTCATGGGGCCTCCTGCTGCTGCCGCGCCGTTGCAGCACAATTTCTGTTCTCATCCTGAAGCAAAGTTCTTAACCTGAAGCACTGTTTCTGGGTTAGCAGAGTCTGTAACCTGAAGCGTATGTAACCCGAGGTACCACTGTACATTAAAAAAAAAAAGCCCTGTTGAGTCAGGGCAATGGCCCATCAAATCCAGGATCCTGTTCTCATAGTGGCCAAACAGATGCCTCTTCCGGGAAGCCTGTAAGCAGGATTTGAGCACCAGAGCCCTCTGCCCTCCTCTGGTTTCCAGCATAACTGCCTCTGACTGTGGAGGACAAAGCATAGCTATTCTGGCTAGTAACCATCAATCACCATTGATACATCAGGGCTCTCAATGCACAGGGACATAGGAAAGAGACTCACACTGAGTCACTGACCACCAGCAACCCTTCAGGGGGAGGGGGCTTCCCAACTCTACTGGGAGTTGCTGCAAATTCAGCCTGTGGAGTTCTCCAGCCAACAGCCCCTGCAACTGCCAGCATGCTCATCTGTCTTTTTGCAAAAATAAATAGTTCCGCTATGGTGCCAAGTCCTTCTCAACTCCCACCCCCTGCAGAGAGAATGATTTATGGCATGGAGGTGCCTCATACCACCTGGGTGGGTTTAATTAGGGAAAGCCTGTCCTTACAAGTTAACAGGGTTATGCAAGAAATGTTTTTTTAAAAAAACACAGCTGTAGAGTATGCATTTCGGGGGGCGTTTAGTATGCAGCAGGAGGAGAACATGAGCAGTCTGCAAGCAGCTCTCCAATCTGACCGACTTAGTAGGGTGGGCTTGGGTGCAGTTGAGAAGCCAAGAAAAATCCCCCGGTGTCATTCAAATGATCTGTTTCTTGGCAATTGCTCCCCTAAACCTTCCCAACTCAGAGAACATGGATCCCTGCTTCCAGGTGCCTCCCTCAGTATATGTTGAGTACATCTTGGATGGTTTTGCTTTTCTGGCTGCCCTGACCTCTTTCATTTCGGTGCAGAATCTCACTCCTCTATCTAAAGGAGTTACTGCTTGGCCCCCTTCAGCTTCACCACCTGGGATTAGGGCCAGCCAAACGAAAGCCTCCATGAAGCATCCCCTTCCAGCCTTTCTCAGCTGCCGGCACATTTCGCAGCCTCCCTTGATGTCTCCCTTTTCACCTCTGTGGAGTCTGACCTGCCAAGAAATTACTCATGGTGGAATCATCCGACAAGAAATGACCTTTTCAGTTTTTCTTTTATAATTCCCCCTCCAAAGATCTCGCAACCCAGTGGAACTTGTTGTGTGTGTAGAGGATCTCCCCTCATCCAGGAAGCAAACTATGAAAAATAGAGCCTTATAATGTTTTGTTCGTTCAAATAATCCTCTGGAGTTCCAGGTTCTGAGCTTCCTGGTTCTGTTGCAGAGAAGCAGTGATTCTATTTATTTGGTGCTCCTCCATTTTGATTTCTGGACTCAAATATACTATAAACCCTGCTGGATGAGGCCAGTGGCCCCTCTAGCCAAGCATCATGTTCTCCAAGTGGCCAAAAAGATGCCCCAGTCAGAAACCAGCAAGCAGGATTTGAGCACAAGAGATCTCTGCTCTCCTGCAGGTTTCCAGCAACTGATCTTCATTGCTGCTTCCCACTGCAGAGTTGGAGAAAGTTCAGAACAGGGCAGCCAAAATGATCGAGGGGGTGTCAAAGTGACCGCCCCATGGAAGAAAGGCGGCAGGAGGTTTTGAATCATAGAATCATAGAGTTGGAATAGACCACAAGGGCCATCGAGTCCAACCCCCTGCCAAGCAGGAAACACCATCAGAGCACTCCTGACATATGGTTGTCAAGCCTCTGCTTAAAGACCTCCAAAGAAGGAGACTCCACCACACTCCTTGGCAGCAAATTCCACTGTCAAACAGCTCTTACTGTCAGGAAGTTCTTCCTAATGTTTAGGTGGAATCTTCTT